AAAAAAAAATAAAATCACCGTGGCCGCTCGGTTAATTCCGGCCGCCACACCTGGGCAGCGGCGCCGGGCGCATTGTTCGCCCCTAATTGCCGGGTGTTGCATTTCCCTTCTGCTTTAAAGCTTCATTGAACTCAAACTGTTATAATTTTCTCCCCGGTGCTCCCCCAGCCGTGCTTTGTAGGGGTTGGGGGTTCGGGGATTATGTCCCCCCCAGGGTCCGGCTGCCACCTCCCAGGGCATTGTCACCGGGAAGGCGATTATGGGGAGGGGGGACAAGGCTGGCACCGGGCTGAGGGTGATGGGGTTGGGGAAATTGGGGTGCCACAGCCAAGGGATGCCCTGAATGGGCAGAGAGTGATGGGATTTGGGGGAAATTGGGGGAATGAAGATGAGGGGAGGGTCTGGGGGAGGTCAGGGGGCACCGGGTACCACAAACAAGGGATGCTCTGAGTGGGGAGAATAGTGGGGACCACCCGGGTATCAAGGGGGATGTCCTGAGTGGGCAGAGGGTGATGGGATTTGGGGGAAATTGGGGGATGAGGGGAGGGCCTGGAGGGGTCAGGGGGCACCAGGTGCCACCCCAAGGGGGATGTCCTGACTGGGGACAGCAGTGGGGACCACCCGGGTACCAAGGGGGATGCCCTGAATGGGCAGAGAGTGATGGGATTTGGGGCAAACTGGGGGGATGAGGCTGAGGGGAGGTCCTGGGGGAGTCAGGGGGCACCGGGTGCCACCCCAAGGGGTAATGTCCTGACTGGGGACAGCAGTGGGGACCACAGCCAGGGGATGCCCTGAATGGGCAGAGCAGCAGGGACCACCCGGGTGCCACCCCAAGGGGGATGCCCTGAGTGGGGAGAATAGTGGGGACCACCCGGGTACCAAGGGGGATGTCCTGAGTGGGCAGAGAGTGATGGGATTTGGGGAAATTGGGGGGATGAGGATGTGGGGTGGGTCAGGGGGCATCAGACTGGGTACTACACCCAAGGGATGCCCTGAATGGGCAGAGGTTGATGGGATTTGGGGAAAATTGGGGGAATGAGGATGAAGGAGAGGGCCTGGGTGGGTCAGGGACACCGGGTACCACACCCAGGGGATGCTCTGAGTGGGGAGAGGGTGATG